TGTATAAGTCAATTCCATACTTCCCATTTAATAACAGTTAAATGAATACATTTTCTTGATAGGGTAGTTCTGCACAATAACGTCTGGGGTTTTTCCTGCCTTACATTTGAAAAGATAGTGTCCCTAAACCATAACAGAATTGATATTTCCAGAAGTGATAACAAGCACACCTTAGTATGTAAGGGCTTTTTCACATTTCTTGACTCTATGGATGATAAATGCTACAACAGATCACATCGTTAACGGTTGAAAAGAAGCAACCATAGACAAAGAGATTCAATCAAATGGATGGAAACTGATAATTATATGGTGTCCCAAGAATTCTTTCCCAAGGGCAATTAGCAACACACTTTTTTTAGACTGTAAAGGACAAATCCAGGATATCTGGGATCCCAATTAGTTAGAGAAAAGGTGGAACAAACTTTAATCAGAAGAAGCAAGCTCACCATTAAAAATGAAAAAAGAAAAGAAAAAGGAAAACCGTAACAGCAGATGAAGAGAGTACCTCAACAAGAAAAAACAAAATTAATTAATATTGAACTACGAAGAGCCGCATATTAGTTTAACTTTCAGCAGATTCCAATTCAGATTTGAAAAAGCTCAAGATTTTTGTTTGCACATGTTAAATACTCAAGCTGACTCACCTCCACTATCATGTTATACCAAGTATTAACTCTTGGAGCTGATTATCATTTGACAATTTTGAAGCATATACACTGCCACAACATTCTATCAATTTTGACCAACTAGTTTTACTATTCCCAGGGCTTTCTGTCAAAAGTCAAAAACCAAGTAGTGTGGCTTACTTGGAATGTTAGTACAAAGATTCTGGCTTCAGAAAGTTTAAATCCCAACAGTGGTATCAATCAGATTTCAGAAACTAAGTAACCCAAAGTCTGCTAAACGTTATGTTTTTAGCCATGTAATGTTCAACAAAAACAGAAGATTATGCATGTGGCAAAGGTCATAACCCCAACTTTAATAAGCAATGAGCCAATAACCAATAGGAACGTTACCAAAACCAAAAAAAGACAATAATCCCTAAAAAGAATTATCACCAGTCTTTATCATGAGTTACAAATCAAACTACCAGTTCAAGGCTTCTAGCCCTAATAAAGGGGCAAAATTCACACAATGCAGATAAGGTTCTCCAGTAGCACAGTTCTACTAGTTCGTTTTAGACTTGGAAACCACGTGATCAGTATGTGCTTCTCATAGCCCAACCAAGTTACGCGTCCCTTCTGCAAATTATATTGCTTAGGGACTTTAGCCATGTCACAGATTTCAAAGTTCCAAGGTTAACGATAGTTTCTCACCTAAACCTCTAGTTTATCAATTTTTTTCTTTTATTTTATTACTAGTTGTTCGGGCGAGCTTACGTGCACCTCGACTAATCCAAAGAACCACACCGTCCCTTATTCACATGGTAAACATGAAAGTTAAAGCAAAAACAGGCAAAAATACACGAAGCAGATAATTGTGTATAAGGAAAAAACAAAAACACAACTACTGTAGCGGCTAAAGAATTTAAACCACTGTGTGATGTAGCTAAAACTTAAGTTCACGTCTTCTGTAATTTTGAGATGATGTCTCCGTTTTCCTTTACAAACAAAGCAAGTCAAGCTCATGAGCAAAAAACCTCTTGAATAAGGAATGAAAAACTATAAAACACATCGAAGCAAGCCCTCGCGACAAAGCCTAACCACCAAAAAAAAAAATAATGCTAGACGTAGAAGTAGGAAGAAGAAGAAAAGGCCCACCTTTGGCGTCTCAGAGTTCCGCAATTAAACCTAGACTATGAGGAAATGAAGAACCCTAGATTTGCCGGGTGTGTTTACATGAACGATTTTCTTCTGAGCTTGACAAGGGCAGCCGGGCAGGGGAATCTGGAGTGGATCATAATCCCAGCCGAAAGTTTTCTTTTGGGTAATTTACACCAACCTCCCTTGAGGTTTCTTACAAATACACCGGCTCCCAACCTTTTAGTAACTAATTACATCGGCCTCCCTTGGAGGTGAATAAGGTGGTCTTCGGTTAGATTTCAGTATTCCAGGTTAATAAGCTTAAAAAGAACTTTGTGTAAGTTCCCTCTGGGAAAATCCATAACATAAGAATTCTTTTGGGAACTAAATTGTTGAAGAGTAAATTGATTTGACAGTAACTTTAAGTTTGGGGGATCAAAGAAATTTATTTTGCTTAAGGACAAAATGGGGTGCAATTATGAGGGCAAACTTAAGAGCGAAATGGGAGCTACACAAAGTGTTTTAAGGTTATTAACTCGGAATCCACAAATCTAAGGGAAGACTTACACAGTGGATCTAACCAATCTCATTATTTCCATCCAATGCAGGTTAGTGTAATTAGTTGAAAGATTTGGGGCATAGTGTATTGGTCACAAACCAGAGGGCGAGGTTGGTATAAATTGCCCCTTTTATTGTGTACCAAAATGAAAGTGCCGCTATGGTACCCATAACGAAGTATTGCCTCATCAACCGCATTACCATACGTAGGAATCTCATCACACATATGTCGGGACTAAGGTAAAATCTCACCATAATTGATTGTTGTTTAAAGGATATTTAGTCGCAACAAAAGACTATGGGAACTTAAACATGAACATTGTCCAACAAGATTTGAGTTTCCACCGACCCAAACCCCTATTCGTCCAACAGAAAGTTTGTTGTCAAAGCAAATGTACAATAAAGCTTAATCTTCTTCGTGAGCTGAAGGCATGTGGAGCCAATAGTGCTGTTAGGCGAAAAATAAAAAAAGAGAATCGGTACAATACATGAAATCCGATTAATGAAAGTATCCATAAAAGAAAATGAATGGTCTAAATTTATAGAACTGTGAATCTAGACTATTCTTTTGCTTTCATGGACACTTTTATGGACCGGATTTCATGTACCCTATCATTTTTGGGAAAAAAATGTCTGGGCTTTGTATTGGCAAATAGTTCGTAACTACTGTTACCAGCATTCCAAAGAGGGACCAAATTCAGCATAACCAAAATCAGCAACCCATGGGGTTTACTCGTGCAATATGGTGAGCATTGGACAAAATAAAATATGCACACATTTCACTCAATTTTTCAAAGATAAAAAATATAAAAAATCATGTACACAAGCATTTATAGTTTGTGCAACATACTAGTTTTTAACAAAATCCATGTGCAACATAATCACCGCGATTCCAATCCCAGCAGCCACCTTCTCCCTCTTAATCTCGAGTAAAAAGTTAAAAACGCTTAGACCCTGTTTAGTTATCGTTAAACACTTTTAAGAAACTGCTTTGAAAATTAAATCCCTCATCGTTGATATATCTAATACTCCGTAATTCCTAAAGAGCAACTGTTGAACACCATCAAACAAACAAGTTTCAAGAAAGCAATCTGCAAACTAGACAGTGTGACCAGCAACCAGACAGGGCAGTTCACTTTTCTATTACCCAAAAAACAAAAAATAAAAAACAAATGACGAGCTTATGAGACCTAAATAACAAAAACCGTAAATAAACAATTTTAAAAGAAAAATTCTCAAATGTGTTGGAAATCTGAACTAAAGCACATCATTCGAACAAAATAAAGTAAAAACACTCAAAAATCCAACTTATCCAACCAATTCTCACAGTAGATACAGGTCTTCGGAGAGATAATGCCATCAGGTGTACACTGATTTATCCGGGGACAAACGCCGCATGGAATTGAAGCCATAGCGCCAATTTTTGCCAGCCCCATCCCGCTTGCAGCTCTATAACAGTCAGTTCCATTAGAAATTTTATGATATTCCCCTAATCCAGTGCTCTTAACCTCAATAATCTCATTGTCTAAAACCATAGATCTCAGTATCTCTTCAATTTGCTGTCTTGTGCAATCAGCCTTGGTGATTTTATTCCTAGTGATAAACTCAGATATTCCTTCTGTCGTAGCAACCTTCAACTTCTTTACGATTCTTAAGCATGACTCTCTCAAAACACGAATGTATTCTATATCAAGAACACCATCCGCATACCATGAACCACCGGTGACTTCCTTTGAGGGTTGAAACTCAGTAGCCATGTAATGTTTTCTCCCCTTGCTTTTGACATTAACGACCTCTTTTATCAAATTTCTGCCTTGGAGTATCTTGAGGGCTTTATTGACCACGGGTTCAGGAAGATTCGTCTCTCGTTTCATGTCTGCTTTCCAGATTCCCATATCTCCTTTACTTTTGATAAGACTCAATAGTACACTCTCAGGTGTCTTAGTTTGTTGTGCATTTGGTTCTTGTCGTTTCCGCTTAAGGGCCATAGCGTCCTGGGATCGACTCATCCTTATCAAAAGAACATACAATCAGCTGTTCAAAAAATATAAAGAACGTACAATTAGAACGCAAAATTTGGGTAAGCCTAGTGCATGAAAATTCTACATGAACTATAAAGAATCTAAACCTCTTGTGGCAAGATCTGATTTAAGAACTTTCAGGACTCTGAACAGAATGTAAAACAGTAAAAGAGATCATGTGATTGTGATGGAAGAAAGACAAGTGGAGAGAGAGAGATTTTCTTTCACTAATTTCACAACTAAATCTTGAGTTAACATGATTATGTCACATACATAAACATTTTCTAACACACACACACATACAGATGTACATATAGTCATGCTAACAACCGTCCATTTGGCAGCTTTAGCTGAATTAAGGTTTCAAGAATGACATATCTTCAATGTCATGATCTTATACTTTAGCTCCTTCGTTATAAGTGCTCCGATTAGCTATATGCCATTAGAATAGGACCTTGCTAAATTCCTTAGCAGAAAATTAACTTATGAACACTTTCATTGCGAGAGACTTTGGTCTTGATCACTATCCTAGAGTCTCACCTTACATCAAAGAAAAGCCGTGCTCGATCAAAAAATAAAAACACTTGCTATTCATTCAAGAGCTCCAAAAACATGTTTCCATCTTCTTCTTCTTTTAGTTGCAAGGCATGGTGTTGTACTTTTATAAATAGGCCAACCATTCCCTATGTTTTGAACCTACCGGTCAGTTAACAGCCGACCGCTCTACCACTGAGCTACTGAGGAAGAATGGACTTAAGGGAGCAGATTCTCGTTCTTTGGACCATCATGTATTAGCAAAGAGTTGATTGAGCATCACTTCACATTCTTGCACTATCTTGGAACATAGTTCTAGCCATGAAAAAAGGGAGAAATGCAAGAAATGCAGATAAGGTTCTCCAGTATTACAGTTATATTAGTTGTTTTAAACTTGGAAACCACATGATCACTATATGTGCTTCTAATAACCCAACCCGGATATGGTGTCCCTTCTGCAAATTATATGGCTTAGGGACTTTAGCTATGTCACAGATTCCAAAGTTCAATCGTTAAAAGATGGTTTCTCACCTAAACCTCTGGTATCAATTGCACGGCTTATTCACTAGGTAAACATGAAATTTAGGGTCCGGTTTTTTACCATAATATTTTTTCTTGTAAGATATTTTACCTATTTTCCTATACAGAAAAGCTACGTGCACAGCAGCTGTGCACAGGAGCTGTGCACAGATCCCATTTTCTCCTAGCTCGGGTCACAAAAAGATGATCGGAGCTGCTCATTTTGTTCAAAAAATGTCGTTTAAGGTCTCTGTAAAAAATGAGCTTCGTTCGACACCGTTAGAGGCGTTAACAAAACACCCAAAATCACTTCAGAATTTAGCCTAAATTCTGAAGTGATTTTGGGTGCGGCTAAATTCTGAAGTGATTTTGGGTGTTTTGTTAACGCCTCTAACGGTGTCGAACGAAGCTCATTTTTTACAGAGACCTTAAACGACATTTTTTGAACAAAATGAGCGGCTCTGATCATCTTTTTGCGACTCGATCGGGGAGAAAACGCGTGCTGTACACAGCTTGCTGTGCACGTAGCACAGCTCTTTCCTATATTTGGTTGTACAAATTATAAGTAAAATATTTCCCTCTCCAAATCTTTTCCGCCTATGGAGGGAAAATGACTTACCCCGGAGAATACCGTTAAACATTTTCCAGTGCATCTCCCGTCCCACTACCCAACGCACCTCTATCACTCTCATTCATTCTCCTCACCTCCATTCAGTTTGTATGGCTCAAATTCACCAATTTATACACACGCACATACACACACAATTAATTGGCCGCATGAGACTCCATAGCAACCTACAGCAATGAATACAAATCTCTCCTACAGTTTCTCTTTTCGACTTTTAAGTTTTATTTCTACGAATACTTACGAAAAAAAAAAACTTCTTTAGGGGCTAAGGAATTTAAACCACTAATTGATATAGCTAAAACTTAAGTTCACGTACTCCGTTTTCCTTTATACTAAGTTTATACAAACAAATGAGGCAAAAGAAAACTCATGTGCAAAAAAAATAAAATAATAAACACTTGAATAAGGAATTAAAAAACTGAAATACACTGAAGCAAGCCCTCGCGACAAAGCCTAGACACGAAAACTAATAATAGACATTGAAGAAGGGAAGAAGAATAGAAGGCCCACCTTTGGCGTTGTAGAGCTCCGCAATTAAGCCCTAGATTTTGAGCAAATGGAAAATCCTAGATTTGCAGTGACGGTTTTCTTCTCCACTTGAGAAAGGGCAGGGGACTCTGGATTCATGATCCCAGCCGAAATATTCATTTTCGTAAATCTCTTCTCGCACCCCTCCTGACACGCGTACCCCCCGACCCCACCTCCCCTCTTCCGAAAATGCCCCCCACACACTCCAGAGAAATACCGTAAGCCATTTTCTCTTTTTTTTATTTACATAATAATGTTTATACTCCGTATCTTTTTTCTCTTTTATTTATTTAAAATTATTTTATTGTTCCGATCGTCAATCCGGTTGAATCAGTGGAATTTTTTTATCATTTTATCTTCAATAGTCATAATAAATTTTTGGCACTACGAAAGTCATAGAATCAAATATCTCTCAGGGTTAATTAATAAGAGCCTTAGAGTCAAAATTTAATTATGGTCATTTAGGATAAAATGATCAGAAAACTAAAATCTTTCCACTGGTTCAAACAGATTGAAATTTGGAACACTTAATTTTTTAAAATCAGTACACAGTTTATATATTACTCCGTAAAAAATATGGTCAAAAAATTAAGTATTCCAAATTTCAATCTGTTTGAACCGGTGGAAAGATTGTAGTTTTCTGATCATTTTATCTTAAATGATCATAATTAAATTTTGACTCTAGGACTCTCGTTGATTAGCTCTAAGAGATATTTGATTCTACGATTTTCTTACGGCTAATAAACGAAAGTCCTAGAGTTAAAATTTAATTATGATCATTTAAGATAAAATGATCAGAAAATTAAAGTCTTTTCACCCGTTCAAACGGATTAAAATTTGGAACACTTAATTTTTTAATTATATAAATTGTCTAAAGAGGTTAGAAAATTAAGTATTCCAAATTTCAATCCGTTTGAACCGGTGGAAAAATTTTAGTTTTTTGATCATTTTATCTTAAATGGTCATAATTAAATTTTGATTCTAGGACTCTCGTTGATTAGCCCTAGGAAAGTCGTAGAATCAAATATCCCTTAG